AGGAAGGAAGGAAGGAAGGAAGGAAGGAAGGAAGGAAGGAAGGAAGGAAGGAAGGAAGGAAGGGAGAGAAACCCTGTTGTGTGTTATTTTAAAATTAAATTCAGCAGCCCAGTAGCCACTCCCAAGCTAGAACCAATCTTCAAAGAGCCACTTTCCAGCAGAACGTCTGCATTTGCAGTTCCACCAAGTGGCTTGTTTTCTTTTACTCTTCTTGGCAAAGGAAAAGCTGCTCAAAGTATTATCATTATCTGTTTTTGTACAGGCTGGAAGCAGAATGAGTGCACAGCCTGGATGGGTTACGTTTGGGGCAGGGGCTATACCAAAAGCAAGGTGTGGTGAAACGATTAAGATACAAGAAGAGTTTTAAAAGAATACCTAGAAATGAGAGAATCTGACCTTGTCCTTGTCATGAGGAGGCTTCACCTCCCATAAGCCCCAGCCCCCATGCTGGCTAGGAGGTTATGAGCCCTGAAGCCTAGCCCACTTGGAGGAGCACCAGGTTGGGGTAAGGCTGGAGTAGAACTTGTTTTCAAATGGGGAGCATCACCTGGACGAACGACCACGTAGGAGATCAGCCTGACACGCTCTTTCTGCCTCCTTCAGGTCAGTCAGAAAGCGTGCGTGACGTCCAGTTTAGCATCCGTGACTACTTCACCTTTGCTGCAACCTTTGAAAATGGCAATGTTCAACTATGGGATATCCGTCGGCCTGACCGCTACGAGAGGATGTTCACAGCCCACAACGGACCAGTATTCTGCTGTGATTGGCATCCGGAAGATAGGTATGAAAACGCACGTGCGTTTTCTGTCTCTGATGCTTTCCTCTGCCCTCCTAGTTTTCTGGCACCTTCTACCCGAGTAGCCTGGCATTCTTTTTTCAGCAGCTCATTCAACTCCTCCCTCCTCGCTCAATCTCTCTGTGAAGCATTTTATTGGGGAATGCATGCTGCTTTTCATATTTTAAGCATTATTTTGTCCTTTCTGACAATTTACCTTTGTTCTGTTGAGCAAATGATTCCTATATAGCGGTTAACATTTGAGAAATAAGTAGTCCTTTCGAAACAAGAAGTTGTGATTTTTAAAAAATAATTTATTTTATTAGATTTTTATTCAGCCTTTATTTTGCACAGCTCAAAGCAGTATACGTAATGCTCTCTCCTTCTGTCGGTTGTGGCTTGGCATGTTATGTGACCCTGGCCGTTTTAGTTTTTGTACCTAGGTTGATCGCTTACTGCAACATGTAAAGCCAGCCAGTTGTGATTTCTTCAACAAAGTTTGTTTAAGGAAATCATGGCTTAGGACTAGGTCTCTGTGTGCTTTACTCTGGGGTGCAGTTTAATTTCCGAAAAGTGGAAATAAGATTCTGGACTAGGAACAACAGAATGAGGATTTCCTGTGAACTAATACAACAGAGGAATAATTGTAGAGGCAAGAGGGAATGGCTTTGAAGAACAGGAGGAAGAGCTGCTACCACGACAGTGGTCAGATAAGCAGGGTTTGAGCCCAGGCCAAGAAAATAACTTGAGAAAACATCTCAGACAAGCCCCTTCCTAGCTCAGATGAAGATAAAGGGAGGGAGGGGGACCCACATTCAGACCTGGAAGATTCTGTCACTAGAGCTGTTACAATAAAAGTGGTCCTGACCTATATGCATTGGTTTTTTAGTCTGGTCTACCAAGTAGGGCTGATCGTAATGGTTGTGACAGCAGGACAAATTCCCTCCTATTCAGAGTCACTTGAAGTTTCCTATCAAACCTCTTAATGGTTTCAAGTTTTTAGCCATTGATAATCACTGTTTATGACTGGGTTTTGAAGCCTGTGAATTTCTGACTGTTGCTGAAGTACAGCTTCCAGCTGTCCCAAGCAATATATCCAGTGCTGAGGGATTCAGGGAGTTTTCAATAGCACCTGGAAAGCAGCAGGTTCTCCAGTCCTATTGCACGAAGTTAAAGATGGTTGCTGAACTGTTTATTAGACTCATAAACTCTCTGCTTTTCTTTGGATAGAGGCTGGTTGGCAACGGGGGGCCGAGACAAGATGGTGAAGGTCTGGGACATGAACACCAACCGGGCCAAAGAGATCTACTGTGTGCAAACGATCGCCTCTGTCGCCCGGGTCAAGTGGAGGCCAGAATGCAAGCACCACATTGCCACCTGTTCTATGATGGTGGACCACAACATCTACGTGTGGGACATCCGACGCCCATTCATCCCCTCTGCCATGTTTGAGGAGCACAAAGATGTCACCACTGGGATTGTCTGGCGTCATCTGCATGACCCTTACTTCCTCCTCTCAGGTTCCAAGGACAGCACGCTTTATCAGCATATCTTCAAGGATGCCAGCCAGCCTATCGAACGGGCTAACCCAGAGGGTCTCTGCTACAGCCTCTTTGGAGACTTAGCTTTTGCTGCCAAGGAGAGCCTCATTTCCTCTGATTCAAACCGGAAGCCCTACCTTGGCGACCGGCGTCATCCCATCTTCTTCAAGCGGAAGCTGGACCCCACGGAGCAGTTTGAGTTCATCTCCTCCTCCAGCGCCCTCACCGTCTTCGAAGCAGACACAGAGTGCGACGCCAGCAGCATGGATTGGTTCGTGCAAACGGCCAAACAGTACGTACTGACCGGGCGACCGCTGGCAGAGCTGTGTGACCACAACGCCAAAGTCGCCAAAGAGCTCAAGCGCAACCAAGTAAGGTTCTGTCTGTCGATGTGGCCCTTCCAGTTCAGTACTTCGCCCCCTAAGAGGAGGCCGCGCCTTTACTCGGTGGCTGCTAGGCGCCCAGGCTAAAATTGTGACCTGCCCTATTGGAATGTGTGTTCGGAACAGGTGTGTCCAAACTGAAACGGGTTTTGCTGAAGCTCGAGGCTTAATTTAGAACAGGTAGGCGATCTTGGGGGCTGGGGATGTATTTGGAATTTTAAGAACACGCAGAGGGTGTGCTCCCAAAATGGACGCCACGCCAGATCGGCCCGTTCATAGAATTGCCTTGCCCACTGGGATAGCCAGTCACAGAGCATTCATGTACCAGAGGGCAATTAGCCCCTCTTCCCCACCTAATATATTTTTCTAACTTCCCTGTGGGATTTTTATGGAGTTCGAAGGTAAGTAAAGGTAACATCTCCTTTAAATCAAGCTTGTCTCCCAAGACTTCACGAATAAGTCCGTGAAGTTTTCGTTGTCCATGGTGCAGAGTGTTTTGCTACTGCTTTCTTCCAAGATTTTTTTCCCACTTACTAGCCTAGCCTACAATTCTGAGTTTTTGATGGGTCTCCCATCCAAGTACTATCCAGGTATGTGGCTTTTTTGAGATGAGCTAAGGTCAGCTCAGTGCTGCCCACCTCTCTGGGCGGAGCCCAAAAGCATGGCTGCTGATTGTTGTAATGCTAAGGCAGCGTTTCCCAACCTCAGCAACTTTTAAGATGTGTAGACTTCAATTCCCAGAATTCTGGTTAGAGATGCTGGCTAGGGAATTCTGGGAGTTGAAGTCCACGCATCTTAAAGTTGCTGATGTTGGGAAACATTGTGCTAGGAGGTTGGTATTTTGCAAGTATCTTTCTTAAAAAGCCTGGTGGGCATCAAGGTTGGCTCCTGGGTGATACATTAGTGCCTGCAGTCACCACATCACTTAACAGTCTGAAGTGCTGAAAGCAGAAAGTGTAGTTTTTATTGAGCCAGTAAAAGCAGAGGTTTGGGCTCTTTTATTTCGTAAGAGTTCCACTAGAAATGCCTTCCTTCCTGATAGCTGTAGAGACTGATATTCTGGTGTCCTACTCTCTCACAAACTAGGTTCTGACTCTGGAATCCCTGGGCAATAAATTACCCTGAGAAATGAAAGCTGAGCTTGCGTTCAACCCATTGCCCACTAGGCCTATCCTGTGTGGGATTGATTGACTGACTGACTGATTTATATTTCAAATTTAGTCACCACCCATCTCACTTTTCTTAACTGCACCACCAGCTGAAAGGGCTCCTCTTCCCAATTGCAATTTGCTATTTGTCCTTGTCAGCTCTTTGAGATAGTCTAGACAAGAAGCACCAACCATGAGTACTAATATTACCTTTATTGTAAGGTTACCATAATGGAATCTTGCAAGTCTGAAGGATTTCTCCTCCCCTCTCCTTGTACCCTCCAGAAAACTAGGGAGGGTCCCTTCTGAGATGCTTCCCACGCCCCTTTTCCTTCTGTGGGCTGAGATGACTTTTGCGTGACGGTTGTCTCGTGTGCAGCTCTTCCCCGTCTCTAAGGTTACCATAATGGAATCTTGCAAGTCTGAAGGATTTCTCCTCCCCTCTCCTTGTACCCTCCAGAAAACTAGGGAGGGTCCCTTCTGAGATGCTTCCCACGCCCCTTTTCCTTCTGTGGGCTGAGATGACTTTTGCGTGACGGTTGTCTCGTGTGCAGCTCTTCCCCGTCTCCCAAGGTCTTTCCCACGTATCATTATGGTCCTTCAGTTGACAGACCAATCCGGTGGGTTCTTAGTGTTTTCCATTATTTTTCTCCAGGTTGCTCAGACGTGGACAATGCTCCGGATTATTTATTCAAGCCCTGGCACTGTGCCTACCACGAACCTCAATCACAGCCTGGGAAAAAGTAGCTCTAGCCTTCCACTCATGAATAGGTAAAGAGAAGGAGAGGGGGTTGGCGTTGTAGGCTTTGGTGTCTTGGGGAGATGCTCAGTCAAAGGTGACTTGGGGCAAGCCCAGGTAAGCCACGTGGAACCATGTAGCCCCATTTAGATTGGGAATCATTTGTCCAGATACCAGCATGCGATGTCCTGTGTCCAAGTGGGAACAACTGCATAAATGTTGAACAAATCCCATGGTTAAGATTTCAAAAGACTTGATTCTCTTTGATTTCTGACACCTGAAAATGCCTTGCCCGTCTGTTGGTGTTTGCAGTTGTGTAGATGCCCAAGAGAGCCCCTAGGTGGGAAAGCCGATGTGGAAAGAATTTTACCATCTCCTGAATGGGAGAAATAGCAGCAAAACTATCTGAAAATATTGGGTTAGCCTTTCTGCACTGGGTTGAACTGGACATTCCAAGCATGGGTGGGAGAGGTGCTGGCTGGGACAAATGGAAGTTGTAGTTCACATCTGGAAAGACGCTTGGTGGGGGAAAGCTGGCTTGCAGCTTCAGGTTCCCAGGGATTCTAAATGAGAAAGTTACAGGAATTTCCTGTAGTTTTTAAAACATGAACTTTAAATCTTCCCATCCCCAAAATGTTCTGTTTTGCCTCTGTCTATTTTTTTAGAATCGGTTGTAAATAGGAAGAATAGAAATAGGAGATATTTCAAATTGCAGTTGCGTGGCTTGTAAGGAAAGGAATATTTTGTCTGTAAATGTTGTAACCCATTTGAGCTCTCCAAAATATTTATTTTGTTTTTGCAATTTATATGCCGCTAAGTTCCAGTCAGTTGTAAGCTGCCTAGAGTTGTTTGGGAGTCAGGCAGCCTATAAATTAAGTAAAATAGAAAAGCTCAGAGTGGCTTGCAGAAAGTAAAATAGAGAGAGTTAAAAGGAAAAGATCATAACCAGACACCCAAAGCAACAGTCACATACAGCAGGAGGGGACCTGCCTTGTCATCAGTCCCTAAAAACTTTCTGGAATAAGCAGGTCTTGGAGGTTGTCCCAAATGCCAACAGGAAAGGCTACAAAACAGTAAATGAAATAACTTGCCCCTAAATTCAAAGATATTACTAATTAGTCTGTATGTGTTTGTAATAGTGATACTATAGTGTGGGTGAGCCTGTTTTTAGGTCATGGTTGTATTAAATATGGGAGGTCATGAGCATTCTTGGCTCTGCTCTGTTGTTTTTAATTTTGGTTGTTTTTACTGTTTTTCTTCTGTTAGCTGCCCAGAGTCATGCATATACGTTCGGTGGCCATATAAAATCAGGAGGAGGAGGAGGAATTATTATTATTATTATTATTATTATTATTATTAT